AAGAGTGACTGCACTAATGGCTGTGCTGTGCAGATCTTTTGGCACAGTCCCAAAAAGCACCGATTCGTGGACGAGAAATTGTCAGCTATTCGTTGTACTGCTGAGTCTGTCAAGGAGTTGGGGCTCGCTGAATCAGCAATTACAATTAAAAAACAGATAAGGTGGATTCGTTGCAATACTTTTATTCTTCATGCTCGACAAGTTTGTTCTTCACAGTCTTTTGGAATACATCCCCCTGATTCCTTTCCTTTCTATGCTCACTCGGTCCACTTTGGGCTTTTATTCTTGCTAGAATAAATGCCCATTGAATGGTGGCTCTTAGAGGCTGGTTTTTGCATCTTCCCTGTCCTGATAGAATTTGCTGTTGCTTCCTTGGTAAAATAGGTTCAGTCTCTCACATTTTATTGGAATGCCCTCTAAATCCTAATCTAAGATGCCATTTTATTCTACCATGGCTGGTGAATTTCAGTGATTTTTAATCCAAACAGGGTTGTCCCCTTCCTCCGCTCAGATCAAAATCCTAGTATACCCTAGGATGCTACAAAATTCTTTCTTTAAAGTTTAACTATAAAACTAATAAAAATTTATTTATTAAAAAACAAAATTTTTAAATTCCTTTTGTCTTTTGGGAAATAGAGATTACAAGTGAAATTTCAGATTGTTATACTGCTCAAGACTTTGGTTGGAGAAAGGAAAGGAAAGGAAAGGCGCCAATACAAACATGACCAAGGCAATTTACAGACCCCCACACATCATTCTAGGTGCTTTGTCCTAAGAACATTTCGCCAGAAAGCTCTCTATTTTTTTTTTGCCATGTACATGTAGATACAAATCCATTGTTTATTGTGGTTGTTACCATTATGATCTTCAAAAATCATTCCAGCTCCCATCTTCATAACTGAACTTCAAAACCAAGAGGTGCAGGACGGCTACCCGGTCAGCTTCGACTGTGTTGTTATTGGCAAGCCAACCCCTACTGTCCGTTGGTTCAAGGATGGGAGAGTCATCGAAGAGGATGACCACTACATGATCAATGAGGACCAGGAAGGCTGCCACCAGCTGATTATCACTGCGGTGGTCCCTCTTGACATGGGGGTGTACCGCTGCCTGGCTGAAAACAGCATGGGTGTGTCTTCCACTAAAGCAGAGCTCCGCGTGGACTGTGAGTACCAAGGAACGAATAAAGCGTAACAATGCGGGAGGGCAAAGTACACTTTAACCAATCTGGTATATTTGACATGAGCAAATGACTCCGAAGCTGAGAAACGAGAGAGGCAAACAGTTTCAGGAGGGTAACCATGCTGGTCTGGAGCAGGAGAGCTAGATTCGAGTACGATAGCCCCTTAGAGATCAACCGTATTCGGGGGGATTTTCTTTCAAGAGTCAAAGCTTCCTTCATCAGATACAATTAATTTCTACTCCATGCAGCTGAACTTGGTGCCTTCCATGAAGGTAGTTTCAGACTGTAGACTTGTTGGTTTGCAGTAGAAGAACTCAATTTGAGTCCAGCCGCAACTTAAAGACCAACAAGATTTTGGGGGTATAAGCTCTTCTGGAGAGCCAAACGAGATCAAGAATGGATTTAGAATGTGAGGAGTGATAAAGTAAGCAGTGACTCACAAAAGCTCCTACCCTGCCACATATTTTGTTAGTTTTTAAGGTGCTACTGGACTCTGGCTCTTTTCTACTGCTACAGACAGAGTAACACGGCTACCTATCTTGATCTATCAAAGAGGAGATTTTACTGTATTAACTTTACTATTCTTCCAAACAGCTGTTCGCACTGCCACCACTAGAGGTCATAAGGGAACTACTGTTTAAGTTCTCTAGAATGTGACATCCCATATTTTATTTTATTCTCCCTTCTTGCCCTAGTTTCCTCTGAGCAGAAGAGAAAATCCTGAGAGGCAAGACAATGTTATTAAGTAAACATCCAGAAAGGGGAATAATATATTGTTATGAAAATCCTTAGGCTCTACTTTGTTCCCTGGTTAGGTATATATAATGCATAAGTTGCTCATATATTATTACAATGTGCCTATTATAATGATATTGTTACCCAAAGACGCAGTCTCCTATTTAATTGGGGGAAATTAGTTTACAGAGACAGAGTGAGAGATGGGTAAATGGGATCTCCACCAATGTTTACAGGGATTTTCCCCACACGAGGACTCTCAGAATAAACCAGTTAGATGTTCCACTGGTGAGGTTTTTATTAAAAAGAAATAGAAATGAGAAAAACACACACATACGTAAAACACACATAAGGCTACCTAGAATAAATCAGGGAGGAGAGAGAAGAGATTTAGGCTATACAGTTACCAGTCTCGAAGATAGAGGTCCATGGAGACAGCAGCAAAATGACCAGCGTTTCAAGGAGAAGCGAGCAAGAGAAGGCCCACACATAAGTGGGGGTGTGAAGTCCAGATCCAAGAACACACACACACACACACACAGATTGGTGACTGTCTACTCCAGATATAGGATAAAATGCTGCCTGAAGGCAGGCTGATGTGTTTGCCCCCAAAACAATAACTTGATTGGTTTTCTGGAGGTGGACAATAATTTGGGAGAAACTTGATGGGTTTTCCTGAGGTGTATTAAAGGTGTAAATGGCACTTGAAGACTGGCTAAGTACCAGACAGGAAAAGCTACCAGGTTTCTTGAATAGTGTTTAAGAGTTGCATAATTAGGGTAAATGGGAGAATGGAAGGAAAGCTGGACAGTCGTCGGGATTAGTACAATGTGAGGCAATAATTTCTCATTGTTCCTAAATTATGCATCTCGCTAGGGTGGGGAGAGGGTTGTTATTCAGCAGCTTCTGACTCACCTTCAAAAATATTTTCCCTCACCTAAAAAAATATTTTATCGCTCACACGCAACGAATACTCCGCAGTGTAAACAGTTCGTTTCACATTATTTGCTTTATCTGAGCGTGTAGCAATCCCAATTCTTATCAATTACTACTTATCAACTCTTGAAGGAAATATTCCATGTTGACTCTCTAATAACAGAACCCAAGGTCTTCACAATGACCTTGGGTTCTGTTATTAGAGATCCTCTGTGGGAGGAGGGTTCTGACTGCTAACAGTATATGCTCCTAATATAGTACACTAATTTTAAACAATTCTCCAGGATGATCAGAGAAATTCTCCACTTCCCTCCTCCACTCAGACTTCTCTAAAGAAATAATTTGTACATTTGTAACATAAAATTTTGTGTAACGGCATGCACAATACAAAAACAGACAGCGAAGTCTTCAAATAACTGACCCCCCTCTATTGTGAAATGTGTGAGAGAATCCTGCAATGTATAGGTATAATGTTCCATTAGAGTGAACATTTGGTGATGTTTAAGTTAGTTCTGAGTAGTCTTGGCTGCAAAGACAAGACGTTTTGGGACAACGTTGGTGGTAGGGCTTTAGCATGCAGTTATACATGGTGGTGTTACATCACAACACTTGGCAGAATTCAGTCTAAAAACAACAAAATTCCACTCGGCTAAGGTTGCCATAGAGTTTCTCACAATTCCCAGAGCTACCCACTGTCACTTCCGAATTGTACCCAGAAGTGATGGCACAGAGGCCAGCAGTTTTTTTATTTTCTCCCGCCAGTGGACAAAAAAAGAGATTGCCTGGAGGCCTCTGGCCATGGCAGGAGGCCTGGCAACCCTAGACTCTGCTGGGCAGTTGTAGTTTGTCTAGAAAAGTTCTGAGCAGCGAGAGTCTCTTGCAAAGCGCTTCCAGGAAGAGGGGCCCCTTGTGCAGTTCTTAGCATAGGGGGTTACGTATTGGGAAGACAGGAAAATGGATGGCTCTTTGTTTCTGGGCCATTTAACAAAGAATGGGTGAAGTTTACAACTCATCCCCCTGCCCTGACAGATAGGGTAGCCAGCCTCCAGGTGGGAGCCAAAAATGAGAGATCACGGGAGGAAGTGGAATTCCAGAAACAACATCCGTGACAAAAATAACAAAGAGTCAATAAAGATAAGCTGGAAAAACATTTACTGTAGTAATTCTGTAGAAAATTTTCTTCAATTATCGCTCACACGCAACGAATACTCCGCAGTGTAAACAGTTCGTTTCACGTTATTTGCTTATCTGAGTGTGTAGCAATCCCAATTCTTATCAGTTACTACTTATCAACTCTTGAAGGAAATATTCCATGTTGACTCTCTAATAACAGAACCCAAGGTCATTGTGAAGACGTTGGGTTCTGTTATTAGAGAGTCAACATTGAAAGTTTCCTTTAAGAGTTGATAAGTAGTGATTGATAAGAACTGGGATTGCTCCACGCTCAGATAAAGCAAATATTGTGAAACGAATTGTTTACATTGCGGAGTATTCGTTGCGTGTGAGCGATAATGGAAGAAAATTTTCTACAGAATTACTACAGTAAATGTTTTTCCAGTTTATCTTTATTGTCTCTTCGTTATTTTTGTCACAGATGTTGTTTTTTGAATTCCTCAGCCTCCAGGTGGGACCTGGGGATCCCTTGGAATTACAGCTCATCTCCAGACTACAGAGATCAGTTCGCCTGGGGGAAATGGATGCTTTGGAGGGTGGACTCTTTGGCACTGTCCCCCAGTGAGGTCCCTGTCTTCTCCAGGCTCCATCCCCAAATCTCCAGGAATTTCCCCACCTGACAAGTACTTACATTGCCCTCTTACCATCTCACTCATGCTTGCCTGTACTGTGCTTCTTAGTGGAAACACCAGTGGAAAAGTAGCACACCATACACGGAACCTTTCTTTTCTCTTTTCCATTGATTAGTGACCAGTACTGATTATGACACAGCTGGAGACGCGACAGAGACCTCTTCCTACTACAGCGCCAAAGGGTATTTCTCCAGGTAGGTATCAACATTTTATGTTGGAGAATGCTCACCCTGATCTAACCAGTTTTGGTGTTGCAGCACGTGAGAAAGTATCTTCCTTAAGCAATGATCTACTCCATTAATTGGGTGATGTCATGACTACTCTATTTTTTTTGTGGTTAGATAAAGTGTGTCTTTAACTTTTTTGTTCTCTCTCTCTCTCGCTTTCTGTATGTCAACACTGCCACCAGGAATTTAATTCCTATTTCATTTTTTAAACTTTTCCATAGCATTGTGGTCCTGAGGATGAGACTCTTGTATTTTAACAGCATATAACTCCAGGTTTACATAAAACAAGATAAAACTTTATTTCTACAGGAAGCATATTGGTTTCAGGATGTTTAGCAACTTAACACTTCAGTAAATAAAATGGTGGCTGTTAATAACCTCTGACTACGTTTGTCACACTCTCTCATATGAGCCAGTTTGGTGTAGTGGTTAAGTGCGCGGACTCTAATCTGGGAGAACTGGGTTTGATTCCCCACTCCTCCACTTGCACCTGGCTGGATGACCTTGAGCAAGCCATAGTTCTGTCAGAGCTGTTCTTGAAAAAGAGCAGTTTCTGTCGAGAGCTCTCTCAGCCCCACCTGCCTCACAGGATGTCTGTTGTGGGGAGGGGGAGGGAAAGGAGTTTGTAAGCCACTCTGAGACACCTTTGGGCAGTGAAGGGCATGGTATAAATCCAATCTCCTCTTCTTCTTCATAAAATGTAATGCCAGGTACCAGAGGTATAAACGTTATAAAGGATACTAGCAAATCCAATAAGCACTATTATTTTTTGATTTAAAATACAAACATGCTTAAAACATTAAAACTTTTGTTGTTGTTGTTCAGTCGCACAGTCGAGTCCGACTCTTTGCGACCCCATGGACCAGATCACGCCAGGCCCTCCTGCCTTCCGCTGTCCTCTGAAGTTGGCCAACTTTTATAGTATTTCCTTAAACTGTCTTCCTGATGCCCGTGCTCCTACCACCCATTACTCGTTAGCACTGGGACAGTATACAGACCACTCGCTCACGGGATGGATAAGAACCCTGGATGGGCCGGTTCCAGCCCATGGGCCATATGTTTGACACCCCTGGCATAGATGGTGAAGCCTGGACTGTAAATCTGGACTGATCAGGGAGTTTAGGAACATGGGGAGAGAAAGCCAAAGAGACTCAGGCATTCTTACTTATTTGGGGAACCCATACGAAATTGACAACATGGTTTATCCTGAGTCCACGTTATATAAGCAGATGTAGCATTGAACAAATAGGTACATGTGGTGAATTCTCTAACTAGCATCTTTCATGGGCTTACAGCCTCAGTCAGGTAACTAAATCCTTGCGTATCATATTCCCCCTTTCTTCTCTGTCATCAGAAAACACGTAGCATTGCATCCATAATATTCTGTCATGAGCTTGGATTTCATAGAATCATAGAATCATTGAATGTTAGAGTTGGAAGGGACCCTGCAGGTCATCTAGTCCAACCCCCTGCCCTCTGCAGGAGCAGAGCCAAAAGATAATAGCCCTACAACATACCCAAAAGATGGTCATCCAGCCTCCATAGGCTCCATAGTACGTAATGGCCAAGCATCCCCTTTTATCTTTGCTGACCACAGAACATTGTTTTGCAATAACTGTGGCACACAGAATGCTGAATTCCCCACTAGGGTGAGAAGTGTCAAAAGTTTCCTTTCTTTCCTCTGAATCAGCCGAGAACAGGAAGGAGTGGAGTCCATGACCGAGGAGGAACAGCTGCCGCAGATTATAGATGAACTTCATGATATCCATGTGGCCCCTGGAGCGCCTTTGGCCAAATTCCACCTGAAGGTGAAAGGTAACAGAAATGCTAGTCTTTGCAGCATGCGCCCTGCTGGATCAGACCAGTGAGGGTCCCTCTAGTCCAGCCTCCTGTCTCACACAGTGGCCAACCAGTTCCTCTGGAGGGCCAACAGCAGGGCAGAGAGGCCGAGGCCATTCCCTGATAAGAACCTCAGAAGAGCCCTGCTGGATCAGACCAGGGAGGGACCATCTAGTCCAGCATCCTGTCTCACACACAGTGGCCAACCAGTTCCTCTGGAGGGCCAACAGCAGGGCAGAGAGGCCGAGGCCATTCCCTGATAAGAACCTCAGAAGAGCCCTGCTGGATCAGACCAGGGAGGGACCATCTAGTCCAGCATCCTGTCTCACACACAGTGGCCAACCAGTTCCTCTGGAGGGCCAACAGCAGGGCAGAGAGGCCGAGGCCATTCCCTGATAAGAACCTCAGAAGAGCCCTGCTGGATCAGACCAGGGAGGGACCATCTAGTCCAGCATCCTGTCTCACACACAGTGGCCAACCAGTTCCTCTGGAGGGCCAACAGCAGGGCAGAGAGGCCGAGGCCATTCCCTGATAAGAACCTCAGAAGAGCCCTGCTGGATCAGACCAGGGAGGGACCATCTAGTCCAGCATCCTGTCTCACACACAGTGGCCAACCAGTTCCTCTGGAGGGCCAACAGCAGGGCAGAGAGGCCGAGGCCATTCCCTGATAAGAACCTCAGAAGAGCCCTGCTGGATCAGACCAGGGAGGGACCATCTAGTCCAGCATCCTGTCTCACACACAGTGGCCAACCAGTTCCTCTGGAGGGCCAACAGCAGGGCAGAGAGGCCGAGGCCATTCCCTGATAAGAACCTCAGAAGAGCCCTGCTGGATCAGACCAGGGAGGGACCATCTAGTCCAGCATCCTGTCTCACACACAGTGGCCAACCAGTTCCTCTGGAGGGCCAACAGCAGGGCAGAGAGGCCGAGGCCATTCCCTGATAAGAACCTCAGAAGAGCCCTGCTGGATCAGACCAGGGAGGGACCATCTAGTCCAGCATCCTGTCTCACACACAGTGGCCAACCAGTTCCTCTGGAGGGCCAACAGCAGGGCAGAGAGGCCGAGGCCATTCCCTGATAAGAACCTCAGAAGAGCCCTGCTGGATCAGACCAGGGAGGGACCATCTAGTCCAGCATCCTGTCTCACACACAGTGGCCAACCAGTTCCTCTGGAGGGCCAACAGCAGGGCAGAGAGGCCGAGGCCATTCCCTGATAAGAACCTCAGAAGAGCCCTGCTGGATCAGACCAGGGAGGGACCATCTAGTCCAGCATCCTGTCTCACACACAGTGGCCAACCAGTTCCTCTGGAGGGCCAACAACAGGGCACGCCTGTAATTTTTCCTCACAGGGTATCCACAGCCTCGTCTCTACTGGTTCAAAGACGGGCAGCCGTTGCACGCCTCCGACCGACTCCTAAAGACAGACAAAAGAGAGTTTCATGCCCTGGAAGTTCTCAATGTCACCAAGAAGGATGCTGGTCAATACTCTGTGTTCATCAGCAACTCTGCGGGCTCTGCATATTCAGCGGCCAGGCTGGTGGTCAAAGGTAAGTGATCATAAAATCATAGAGCCATCGAGTTGGAAGGGACCTCCAAGGTCATCTAGTCCAACCCCCTTCCCAATGCAGGAAATTCACAAATACCTCCCCCCACGGCCAACAACAGGGCACAGAGGTTGAACAGCATTTCCCTGGCCGTGTAAAAAAGGGCCACAGGAACTAAGCTCTGATACGACCCTTCCTGCCTTCCCTCTCACGATCTGCCTAAGTTAATGGAATCGGCATTGCTGTCAGATGGCCATCTAGCCTCTGTTTGAAAACCTCCAAAAAAAGGAGAGCCCACCACCTCCCGAGGAAGCCTTTTCCACTGAGGAACCTCTCTGTCAGGAAGTTCTTCCTAAAGTTTAGCCAGAAACACTTGATTTAATTAGGAGGAGGAGGAGGAGATTGGATTTCTACCCCGCCCTTCACTACCCAAAGGTGTCTCAGAGCCGCTTACAAACTCCTTTCCCTTCCCCTCCCCACAACAGACACCCCGTGAGGGAGGCGGGGCTGAGAGAACTCTTGACAGAAACTGCTCTTTTTCAAGAACAGCTCTTGTCAGAACTACGGCTTTGCCCAAGGTCATCCAGCCAGGTGCAAGTGGAGGAGTGGGGGAATCAAACCCAGTTCTCCCAGATTAGAGTCCGCGCACTTAACCACTACACCAAACTGGCACCAAATTAGCCCTTAAGGAGGAATTCTTGTTTTCCTGCCTTAAACAAATCTCTACAAAGCTTCTCAAAAGGCAGAAATTGTATAATCTGTATCATTACTTCAAAAGTATAAATTGTATAATTAATTCAAAAATTCTCTGTGCTTTTGCTGCATTCTCCTTTTGAGTAGCTGACGGTCTTTATTAAACCAACTGCCCCGACTTGCTGCTGGGGGCAGATCGTCCAGAGCCTTTCTGCTGTAGGTGGATTCAGATAATGAGATTAACCTAAAAATATTTACAAACCATCAGAAGGGAAATTATGTCTAAGGAATTCATTTCTGCGGTTTGTAACTGGCAGAGAGTGCAGTTGCTAAACTGTTACAATTGGAGTTCCAATGAATCACTATTATATTGCAGTAATGGCACACACTGACCAGGAATAGCATAATAAGACTGTGTAAGATTAAGACAGAGAGTAATCGGGAGATGGTCAGTGTTTGGGGCTCTGGCTAGGAGCTCCAGGTTCACAGGAATCCCAAGGAAGCAATGTTCAAGATACAGGTTTGTCCAGGGCTTTTTTTGTAGGAAAAGCCCAGCAGGAACTCATTAGTATAATAGGCCACACCCAACAACAGAAACTCATTAGCATATCCAGCCACACCCATGAGAGCATAGCTCATTAGCATATTAGGCCGCACCCCATGCTACCAGAAGTGTCGACATCCAGCCACACCCATCTTTTGCTTCCTATTCTGTTTACCTTGTTTGTTGTCAAAACCCAGGGCTTTTTTTGTAGCAGGAACTCCTTTGCATGTTAGGCCACACCCCTAATGTAGCCAATCCTAATGAGTTTCTGCTATCGGGTGTGGCCTATTATGCTAATGAGTTCCTGCTGGCCGTGGTCAACTCGGGAGCCAGCCGGAACTCTGTTCCTGTGCGTTCCTGCCCAAAAATAGCCCTGGGTTTGTCTACAGGGAGATTTTAATAGCAGCGATCAAGCTTACAGAAAGAGCAGGTTAAGCTCTCATCCGCTGGGTCTTGAATGCACACACGCACAGCGGAACTTCACCAGACCTTGAGACAAGAAGCTAAGACTAAGCATCTTATACCCTAATTGCCGGCTACAGGTTAAGAAATCATTAATCAAGCGATCCCAAACACGAGAATGAGCCAGTCCATTTCACACCTGGCATCTAGTGGTGAGAGAGAACAAGTCAGGCTTCCTAGATAAGAGCGGCTAACAATCATGAGAGAGAAGACTATCCCCCTCACAGAACTCAAAGCAGCTAAAGGTCAAGCACCAGCCTGTAACAAAGATGGAGTTACAAACGCTACGCAGTCACCTCCCATGCCTTCACAAGATTGTTATTGTGAGGATTAAGTGGGGGAGGGGGAACAATGTGAAATGCCGCTTTGGGTCCCTGATCGGGGAGAAAAAGTGGGATGTAAATGTTAAAAATGATAAAGAAAAAATGAGATTTTTTTTGAACTGAGTATGAGGAAGAGGCTGGAGTTATTAACTAAATATTAACTGGCACAACAACATAAGAACAGAAGAACAGAAGAGAAGCCAATGTTGGATCAGGCCAATGCCCCATCCAGGCCAACACTCAGTCACACACTGGCCAAAAATAACAGGGGCCATCAGGAGGTCCACCAGTGGGGCCAGGACACTAGGAGCCCTCCCACTGTTGACCCCCCCAGCACCAAGAATACAGAGCATCACTTGCCCCAGACTGAGGGTTCCTACCTACCCCTTGTGGCTAATAGCCACTGATGGACCTTTGCTCTTAAGAACATAAGAGAAGCCAATGTTGGATCAGGCCAATGGCCCATCCAGTCCAACACTCTGTCACACACTGGCCAGAAATACCTGGTGTCAATCAGGGGGTCCACCAGTGAGGCCAGGACACTAGGAGCCCTCCCACTGTTGCCCCCCCCCCAAGCACCAAGAATACAGAGCATCCCTTGCCCCAGACCGAGAGTTCCTATCTGTACCTTGTGGCTAATAGCCACTGATGGACCTCTGCTCCATATGCTTATCCAATTCCCTCTTGAAGCCGCCCCTGCTTGTAGCAGCTACCACCTCCTGTAGCAGTGAGTTCCATGTGTTAATCACTCTTTGGGTGAAGAAGGACTTCCTTTTATCTGTTCTAACCCAACAACATATTTTCCTTCTTCGGGAAAAATTATATTGATGGCTTCAATGTCATTTATAAATATTAGATCTTACATTCATTTGATTAATGTATACAATATTAAAATTAACAGTATTTGTTCTTCTAAAGAACACTTAGGATTGTAGAGGTCCTGTTCATACGTAGTGCTCACAGGGGATGCGAGGGAAGCGTGCTGTAATACCTATTGACCTGAATCATTCTTTGTCCTCACAGGATCGATAAATTGGCCAGGAGTGTGTTTGTAGCTATTGATTCACAGTGGTCCTGTTCCCTTCTTTTCATTCTACAGGTCCCGGTGAAGAAGAGAAACCAGAGAAAGGTGAGCGAAGAGGGGGAAAAACGCTGAGGTGATAGCAGAAACAAAAACTTTGGCTGTAGCTCGTAGGCCATTTGCGCCTCCAAGTTTCCTGGTCAAAACCTAGGGTTGCCAAGTCTCACCTCGTTCCGGAGTGGGGGACTCCCGGGTTGATCCCGGAGCGGTGCTTTGCGCGCGCGCACCGCACCCACATCACCAGGAAGTGACGTGATGACGCTGGGCACGCTGGGGGCGGGGCCGCGACCATCCGAGGGAAAACCATAGAGTTTTCCCTCAGATGACCCAGGAGTGTGTTTGTAGCTATTGATTCACAGTGGTCCTGTTCCCTTCTTTTCATTCTACAGGTCCCGGTGAAGAAGAGAAACCAGAGAAAGGTGAGCGAAGAGGGGGGAAAACGCTGAGGTGATAGCAAAAACAAAAACTTTCGCTGTAGCTCATAGGCCAGTGATGGCGAACCTTTTAGAGACCGAGTGCCCAAACTGCGACCCAAACCCCACTTATTTATCGCAAAGTGCCAACACGGCAATTTACCCTGAACACTGAGGTTTTACTTTAGAAAAAACCACTCATACATTAACTTAAGATGATCCAAACAAAGTAAGGAAAGCAATCCCAAATGCTTTCATTTATTTAAAATTATTTGGCAGAGAATTTGACACTTTAATGATGGTCTGGGCCTGGCTGGGGCGACGGCACGCGTGCCCACTGAGAGGGCTCTGAGTGCCTCCTCTGGCACCCATGCCATAAATTCGCCACCACTGTCATAGGCCATTTGCGCCTCCAAGTTTCCTGGTCAAAACCCCCCAAAGTCTAAAGTAGCCCTACGGGACCTCAGCCAAAGCAAGCGTGTTACACGCCATGTCTTTAGTATCACCTACAAAATGTCACGTCACGTTTTTATCGTTTTCTCTGCACATCTTAATTTTCAGAGGTTCGTGGACAGCTGGTACCGCCACGATTCCTGGAAAGATTTACCAACAAAAAAGTGAAGAGAGGAGTCAGCATTACCCTTTCTGTGAAAGTCGAAGGTAAATTAGTTTCGGGGCAACCCTTTGCTTCAGTTTTGATGCTGCCTTAGCGGGGGGGGGGGCCGTCATTGTAGTTCTTGTCATTCTGAAGGCACCATCAGTGTATGATACGTTTTAAATATAAGCAAAGACGGATCGTTGCTTCAAAAGGTCTACAGTCTAAGGACCAAACTAGTTTTTGATGAGTTCAGTTTGAGTTCTCTGGACCCAACTACCTTTCCTGAAGTCACACAGGAGCTGCACGGAATGTCAGTTTAAAGGAGGAGGAAGAGGAGGAGGAGATTGGCCCCAAAGTCTAAAGTAGCCCTACGGGACCTCAGCCAAAGCAAACGTGTTACACGCCATGTCTTTAGTATCACCTACAAAATGTCACGTCACGTTTTTATCGTTTTCTCTGCCTATCTTAATTTTCAGAGGTTCGTGGACAGCTGGTACCGCCACGATTCCTGGAAAGATTTACCAACAAAAAAGTGAAGAGAGGAGTCAGCATTACCCTTTCTGTGAAAGTCGAAGGTAAATTAGTTTCGGGGCAACCCTTTGCTTCAGTTTTGATGCTGCCTTAGCAGGGGGGGGGGGGGGGGCCTCACACAGGAGCTGCACGGAATGTCAGTTTAAAGGAGGAGGAAGAGGAGGAGGAGATTGGATTTATACCTTGCCCTTCACTAGCCGAAGGAGTCTCAGGGTGTGGTCAGACGGCGTGCTGGGAACGGTTTAAATTGCTCCAGCCCTGATACGGTCTTTTTTAACCTGGAGAATCACGATCACACTCACCTCCTTGCTCCAGATCGCTGCGCTGTTGTTTTCCCCCCCTCTCTCTCAGTTTGGGCATGCACACAGGCAGCCATCCATAGAACTAAAAGTTTCGCGTGCGCGCAGAACAGCGATTTCCTCTTCAACCCGACTGCTGTAACGCTTCCCTTTAAACTTTAAAGGAACACTTCCCTTTAAACGTTTACCGCCAAAAATGTCCTCCGTGAGTTCCTGAACTCATCTAAAGGCTAAAACTAGGCACCGTTTAAACATTGTTTTTAATAACCCTGTGGCGGACCTCCACCTATGCGCACACCGCCAACGCTTTTTTAAAAATAGCGGGCGAAAAGCGGAAGCCTTGGGCAGCTTTCGAGCGGGGAGGGGGTTTAAATTGGAAGTGGCTTGACACCGGAGGAGCGATCACACAGGGGGAAAATGCGGCCGGAACCGAAAAATCGGGAAGACACCACTTGGGGACCTCAAAAAACAGGATCACGAAACTGCGGGGAAAATTGGGCGAAGCCGCGAGTCAAAATGCAGCCCCGCGGCTTCGTGTGTGAAATTGACCAATAGTATCGGGGCAAACGGCGGCACAACATCAAGGCAGCTCTAGTGTGAAATCAGCCAACATCTTATTTGGCCCTAAGGTTTGTTGCTTGGAAGGAAAAGCAGAACAGGGAGGACGGGAAGAGGTCCTTTGTGACCTTAATAGGATAAGTACATTCCTCCATGCCCTGCTTGAATGCAGGTTCTTTTGAGAATATAAGGGATCACTATATTAAGCCTTTAATCAACCAACTGTCCCCTTACACTCTGTGTAATCAACCAACACCCTTTACACCCCTTACACTCAAAACCCTGGCTGTTTTGCTCAGCGAAAAGGATCCTAAGTTTACTCTAAAGGAAAAGGTTTCCCTTGCTCAAAAGCCAGTCGAATCTGACTCTAGGGGGCGGTGCTCATCTCCGTTTCTAAGCCGAAGAGCCAGCGCTGTCCGAAGACTTCTCTGTGGTCATGTGGCCAGCATGACTAAATGCCAAGGCTCACAGAATGCTGTTACCTTCCCGCCAAAGCAGTACCTATTTATCTTCTTGCAATTTCTTGCTTTCAAACTGCTAGGTTGGCAGGAGCTGGGGCCAGAGACGGGAGCTCACTCTGTCATGCGGCACAGTCGGGTCTCAAACTGCCGAACTACGGACCTTCTGGTCTGCAGCTCAGCGCCTTAACCTCTGAGCCACTGCGGCCCTAAGTTTACTCTAGCAGCTGCAAAATTTGTCTCAGTCCTTTTAGCCCTTGCATAAAAAAAAAGAAGCAAGTATCTTCTGCTGCTCAAGATCTGTGAATCAATGAGCTCTTAAGGGTATAAAAGAAGAGGAAAGGATGGGAAGAGGTCAGTCTGGCAAAGAACAAACGTCTTCAAGTAGACTCAACTGCAGCTAGAGATAAAGACTTGGGGGTGAGGGGGTAAGCGAAAAGAAAAAACTTTACCGAAATTTGCCAGCAGAGGGTAGATATGCAGTAAAAGGGAGCACAAGCTGTTTGAAGAATTAAGTTGGTTTATTAAGAAGATAACAAGCTCTGTAAGAAAGAGGAGAGAGGAAAAAGAAGTCTGACTAACTAGCTAGGAGGGAGTCGGTAGTGAACAGTTCTCATCAGGAGTGGGAAAACCCCTAACTGAGCCAATCAGGAGACTATTTGAAAACAGTAGGAAGTCCCTAATCTCACAGTGCCAACTAGTTGTCCCCTCTGCTGCCCCCTGCAGGACGTTCTTGTCATTTCCTTTGTCCATGCACAATAGACCTTGCATGTTCCAACAAAAATGGTGGGTTTTGAGGGCAGCTGAATTCTTAGTCATCGGGAGGACGCTGCCATTGCTAATAGCCCAAGTCTTTTTTCTTTCAGGAAGTCCACCACCTGCAGTGACGTGGTTGAAGGAAGAATCTCGTGGAGAAGACATCCTTTGGATCAAGTCAGACACTCCCGGGTATAAACTGGCCAGTTCCAACTTGCAACACAGCCTAATCTTGTTGGATGTAAAGAAGGAATACAGCGGAAACTACACCTGCATTGCCTCCAATGAGGCTGGCCAGTCCATTTGCAGTGCCTCTCTTGAAGTTTTGGATGGTAATTTTCCTCATTGCGTTTTTGTCCAAATAGTTCAAGTAGTTATATGCATTGACTGTTTTTGGCTTGTATCCTTTAGCTCAGTGTTTCTCAGCCCGTGGGTTGGGACCCAAAAGTGGGACAGAACGCCTCTGAACGGGGATTGTGGGCCAACCCACACTAATGGCCACTACTGCTCTTTCCATTGCTCTGTTTTTATTTTATTTTATTTATTTCATTTTTCGTAGTTGTATCCCGCCCATCCCGTGAGTGGGCCCAGGGCAGGTCACATCATCTTAAATAATACAGTAAGGTTTAAAATACAATAAAACATTTTGGTTTGGTGTAGTGGTTAAGTGCGTGGACTCTAATCTGGGAGAACCGGGTTTGATTCCCCACTCCTCCACTTGCACCTGCTGGATGACCTTGGGCAAGCTGTAGTTCTCTCAGAGCTGTTTATGAAAAAGGGCAGTTTCTGTCTGAGCTCTCTCAGCCCCACCTACCTCACAGGGTGTCTGTTGTGGGGAGGGGAAGGGAAAGGAGTTTGTAAGCCACTCTGAGACACCTTTGGGTAGTGAAGAACATAAGAACATAAGAACATAAGAGATGCCAATGTTGGATCAGGACAAAGGCCCATCCAGTCCAACACTCTGTATCACACAGTGGCCAGAAATACCAGTGCCATCAGGAGGTCTACCAAGTGGGGCCAGGACATTAGAAGCCCTCCCACTGTTGACCCCCCCAAGCACCAAGATGACAGAGCATCACTTGCCCCAGAG